CACAAACTGGAAAGCAGCATTGGGCACAGCTGGATTCAGGACTCAAAGGGAAAATCAGGACTCGGTTTCTCTCCATTTCTCAGCTCTGTCTTCTGCTATCATGGGCAGTAGTAGTAGTAGCAGTTGGCAGTAGTGGTATACATTTCTCTAACTTTCAGGTTCTGTCAAAAGAAGTGAGTTTCTCGCTCCAAGATGTTCAACAAAATCCTGAATATGCCTATCGTCGGCTAGAATTTTTTACATTCCCGTCTCTGGACCACTCCTGAGTCAGGGCAGGGAAGTCAGGCAAAGAGCCCTAGATACAGCAAAACAGAAGAAACACTCACCTAAGCTGCCTTTTACTTCAAAGTCATTTGGGGAACTGCAACTCCCTTTTCTCTTTCCTTTCCCAATATAGGACTCAGGTTTGGTGTGAAGGAAAATCTGACCCTGTAAATTCATTTAAAACTCAGTTAACAGGGACTGAGTGAACCATAATCATATGCATATGTATGATATTTTTACATTCATTGGTATTACCTTTTTTTCTGTATGATTTTTGTGGCATTGTTTTATTTAGTTTTTACCTTCACTTTCATTTTTAGTTTTCTTTCCATTTTATGCCTTATTTTAAAAATGAAATATTGTAGAGTGCATTTAAGACATGTTCCTTTTTAAAAGTTAATATGTCATTTTGCTTGCTATTTGTAGAGGCTGAACAAATGAATGGACTGTATTAACTTTGATATTTTTATAAAGTTTATATAATTCAACTGTTGAGAGTGGTTAGTATTATCTTAAATGTGACATTTTGCTTGACTTGAAAGTAAGCAAAAATTGGTGTACAAAATCTTATATTTGAGGAATATGGTTTAGTCAAGGTATTTGTGTTTAACTCAATCAAACCAACCGAAACATTCTTCTTTCTTCTCTTTGCTATCTTAATCCTTACATGCCCGGCTGAGAATACCAAAGCCTCTCTATGGTAATTATTCTTAATCCTATTTGCAGGCCTAAAATTTTGGTTACACCACACGTATGAATTTTAAATAGGAGTGAGTAAACTCCTAGTATCTCTATTATTATTATTATAATTACTATTACTAGTTATATTAATTATAGTACAATTAATATTACTATTACTAGTTATACTAATAATGGCTACCTATTATTGAGTGCTTACTATATGCTAGTGACCAAAGTACTTAGATTTAAAATTTCACTGAACCCTATGAGATAGTGCCATTCCTGGGTGAGGAAACCAAGGCTAAGAAAATAGTCTGAACAATTCAACAAGGCTGGGAGTTTATATAACTAGTAAATAACAAACCTTGGAATCTAAATCCAAATCTGTCTACTTTCAAAGTTCATGGTTTGTGTTTAGGTCTTTCTCACTGACAGATTTAGTCTTTAGGTCTATGGAAGAAAAATAACTTTGCCTGGGGAAGTCCTTTTCCCTAGCTCTGATGGACCAACTCTGGAGAGGGGCTTCACTTAAATTGTAAATAATGTGTCCATGATCACCCTTTTGAGATCGGGGCACCAGTTTTGTGTATCAGACAGATTGCATGTTGCTGCCCCTCACATTTAGACCATTCATTTTCTGTTAGCCCTTACATAGGGAAACCATCTGTCATTTTTTTTTTTTTCCCCGAGAAGGAGTTTTGCTCTTGTCACTCAGGCTGGAGTGCAATGGCGTGATCTTGGCTCACTGCAACCTCTGCCTCCCTGGTTGAAGTGATTCTCCTGCCTCAGCCTCCCGAGTAGCTGGGATTACAGGTGCCCGCCACCATGCCAGGCTAATTTCTGTATTTTTAGTAGAGATGACGTTTTGCCATGTTCACCAGGCTGGTCTCAAACTCCTTACTTCAGGTGATCTACCCGTCTAGGCCTCCTAAAATGCTGGGATTACAGGCGTAAGCCATCATGCCCAGCCCCATCTGTAACTTTTGCTATTTGTTCATTATTTAGTCATGTTTGGGAAAGAAAAGATCAAGGCTATTGATTAAAATGAATTGAAAATGATTGTAGAGTTTCATAAAAGCTATATATCCCTATGTTGTATCTTTGTAGATAAAATGGAAATGAATGAATCCATTCCTGGGTTTCAGCATATCAGTAAGAATAGGAACCCTGCATTAATAATAGACTCCAAGTCTCAAGGCATTAGGCTACAGAAGCTCTTCCAGGAAAGTAGCGTTTGCTCAAACTGCGTTAAGCAGTAGAGGGAAATTTTTTGGCTAAAGTAATTGAAAAGTTCAGGGATAGTTAGCTTCAGGCACAGCTGGATCTAGGGGCTCAAATAATGTCATAAGATATCTGTATTTTTCCTATCTTTCATCTCTGATTTCATGTCTTGGCTTAGTACTCAGAAGGTGCTCCTTTTAGGGTAACATAATGATCAGCAGAAGCATCTAGGTTATAATCTATCAGCTTTAAAACCTAGCAGAAACATAGCATCTCTTTTCCAATAGGTCTAGCAAAAATCCTGAGAATGATACTTATTGGATTGGCTTGGGTCACACACCCACATCCTAAATTAATGACTGAAAGCAGGGGAGCAAACTGACCTGGTGTGAGTTGTGTGCTTTTCTCTGGAGCGCAGAAGTGGCTCAACCCCTCAAGAACCCTAAATGCCGGAAATGTGGAGAAAAAATGGTTTTCCAAAAGAAAGACAGGAAGAAGAGGAATCAAAGGGATAAACCAACCTACTAAACAACAACAACAACAAAATCCAGGTGTTTACCATACTTTCTCTACAACTCAATGTCTTTATCTGGAAATAATCCAACTCCATGATGCTGCAGTCCCTGGGCACCCACTGATGTGGGGAACAGGCAGAGAAAGGCATGGTGTGTGGGCTGTTGCCCAGGCACTGGTTAGGGGAACCAAGATAGGCTCTGGGCATTCTAGCAGTTAGTTCAGTAGGCCTGGAGGCTACACTAATTATGAGTGAGTACAGCTCAATTAGGGGGTGAGGGGTGGGATGGGAGACAGCAGGATCAGGCCTGGGGAAAAACAGACTGGTTTTCAAACATCCATTTGGGGTGGTTATTAAACAAGCCTTTAGAACACTTCTAAGACCAGTATTGTGCTACACCCTGCTGGGCGGCACTCTCAAGATATGACACTAGGAGATAACACCTGCTGTTACGAGTGACTAGAAAACAAGGAAGAAGCAGCAAACTACGTCAAACGAAACAGGACAGTCAGGGACAGAGCACTCAGTTAATTAGAGGTCTTTTGAAAGGGTATGGACTCATATATTTTGCAGAAGTAACCTTTCCATCAGTTGGGTTAAAATATATAAAAGCTTTGTGGTTTCTGTTTCATCATTTTTAACACAGAAATGAAAGATCACAACCTTCCTCAAAACGTCTTGTCTTCCCAATGGTAGAAAGTGATCCTCACTCTAGAGTGTAAGAAAGTGATGCTCACTCTAGGAGTGTGATCTGATACGGAAAGCCAAGATAACTTTCGTTCAGACCAGGTGATCCTAGGTACCCATTACTAGGTAATAGAATAGATTACAGGTTATTCAGAAAAATAAAACAGAGGGTCTCAGCTAGAAAGAGAAACTTGTAGAGATGCTCTAGGTCTGGAAGTAGAGCACTAAAGAGCAAATAAAAATTCTTATGGCTTTTCTAAACTTTGATACTCAAGAAAATCTCTTATTGCCTTCAAATGAAAAAAAAAAAAAAAAAAAAAAAAAGAGGGCCGAGTGCAGTGGCTCACGTCTGTAATCCCAGTACTTTGGGAGGCCAAAGCGGGTGGATCACCTGAAGTCAGGAGTTTGAGACTAGCCTGGCCAACATGGTGAAACCCCGTCTCTACTAAAAATACAAAAATTAGCTGGGTGTCGTGGTGGGCATCTGTAATCCCCGCTACTTGGGAGGCTGAGGTGAGAGAATCGCTTGAACCCAGGAGGCGGAGGTTGCAGTGAGCTGAGATCATACCATTGCACTCCAACCTGGGCAACAAGAGCAAACCTCGTCTCAAAAAGGAAAAATAAAATAAAATAAAAGACTCTCGATTTTCTAGTTTCCTGCTCTATGATTAGCTCCAGAAAGCTGGGCTCCTGGGGCTAACTGATGCCACCTGGAATGGGTGCCCTTCTACTACGGTGGCCTGCCGTCAATGTGGACTAAAGGCAGTGCCTCCTCCATGCTAAAGCAGATGCTGGCCCAAGCAACAGCCCTGTGCCTGTCAAAATATAAGCTGAGTATGGCATATGAGACTAGAGAGGGATCACAGAACCTTAGACATTTCCAAGAAAAATGAATAATATAAGGCTAGGTCTTGGACGGTCTGCATCTTATTAATCCCTCTTTTCCACAATGGTGGGCGGGCTGCCGGGGATGTGGGCTGCAGATGGGAAGCACACTTTCCTGGGGTTTTGTTCCATTCTCCAGGCTCCTCCTAGGCACCAGAAGTATTCATTTCCTGGCATGAGCAGGGCTTTGGAGCACTGGTGTCCAATTTGTTCCTTGGACAGCTTGGATGGCTGGATGGGCCCTGGAATATTTGAAAGTGCCAATGGACACCCACTGTTAGGATAAGCTATGCCTGACCAGCCTCCCAGGCCTATCTCTTCACCTCTGAATCACCAGCGTAGCCCCCAGCTGAGCTCTCCCACCTCAATTCTCCTGCCTCCAACTCACCGCAAACAAGATGGCTGGATTCTTCATCTTAAATCACCATTTAAAGTGGTGAGCTCTGTCTCAAAAGTCAGGAAACCTTCCTCTTTGTTTCCAAGAGAGTATTTGAATACTTTCATCTCAGACAGGCCCCACCCCCAAGAGCCTTCAACACTCTCCTCATGCTTCCCTCAAAATCTTTGCCAAACTTTTCCCACAGCCTGGAATACTTCTTTGCCTCAACCACCTGCCCCCACCTGTCATTTACCTGCCCTATCCAGACATTCCAGCTCTCAAGGAATTTTTCAACAGATTGTTTATATCATCCAGTATTTGCACTACTTCTTGGGTAACTAATTGTGTCCTATTTTGTATTTTTCTTTTTAGCATACTTGTATACACTTATGCTGATGAGACCATGAATTTCTCTCTCTTTTGTATCTCCAAGAGGGATGACCACATAGTAAGTATTTAATAATTATTTGTTGAGTAAATGCTTACATAACTAAATGATATTGCATGGCACTAAAAACATCTTTGTTATTTGAGTAAATCACAGGTTAGAAAAATCACAGCCTAGCCTCATCATTGCTATTTCCAAGTCTAAATATGATCTATTTAGTAGGTCAACATGCCCTTCCTACCGTTTATTCTCATCTGCAGCAAGAAGAGGTACTAGAAATATCTTTCATCAACAGAATTTTCCTAATGTTCCTACTCTGCTTAGAAACCTATAGTGATTTCCTATTAGCACTCATGTGAATTACAAACAGCTCCCCTCACTTCTCTGATCCTGTGACTTCTTGCTTTCATCAACTCCCAGCAAACTTAACTGTTGGTTTCTACCTCATTGTACGTCCTGGTTTCTACCTCATTTTCAGGAAGGGCACATCAACCAGTCTTTGCTACTTCCCTCCCTCAGTCAAATGGATGCTTTCCCTGACTCCTGGGCACAGACCTAGGGCCTTCTGAAGTTTTATCTTTCAAAGCCATATAAAAACTTCTCTTAAGGGGGAGTACCAAAAGGGAGGAATAGAAATCTAATTTACCATTCAGTGTCTGTGACTTGTTGAGATTTAAAAAAATAAACAAAGCAGGCATATTTAAAGCATTAAAGACACATCAATTACTTCCAGCTTGTGCTATTTCCTTTTGAACTCTCCTCTTATGAATGTTACTGTCCCCCTGCTCCTGAGCTCCTTTGCCCCCTTCTGGGATCTGAGCCCACCCTTCAGGGAAATCTCCTCTGGGGAATGGGAAGCCAGGAAAAGTGTGACGGTCCCTGAGCTGAGCTGGTGCCCTGATGGCTCAGCACACCTTCCCTGCTACTCCCTTCCCACTGAACAAGCTGGTGTCCATCTGCAGTGAAGGGCCAAGGGTCAACAGGGAATTCTGACTTTCTTGGTGACTGAGAAGCATAAGCCCTCTAATTAGCAGTTCCTGATTCACAGTTGAGGAGGCTGAAAATCCAGAAAGAGGACAATGCTGGTGCCAGTAGTTCATATGAATGAGTTGTGGCAGAAACACTTCCCCAGCCCTCAATTCCACCCATGACTATATCTTTTGCTTTTAAATCTGCTTTCCTTTGCTTGGAGTCAGCTCTAAGAAGGAGTAAAGCATTTTAGGATTTTGGGGTGGGCAGGGTCAAGACTTCAGGTGCCATTAAGCCAAGGGACTGCTGAGATTAGGACTGCATTCTATGAACTTCCCTGGCACTTTGGCCTCATGCCAAAGACAGTGCTCAAATTATAGTGGATGCTTTCAGCTGCATGAAATACAGATATCAAAAGAACTTTATTATTAAATGAAATCTGAGAAGCCGGTCTTCCTTTGATAGATAAGAAAACTGGAGCCCACCAAGTTTACGTAAAATCTCTCTTGGATTTTCTTATTTATTTATTTATTCTTTCTGTGAATATTTATTTAATGTTGGCTGTGTGCAAGGCAGAGGGTCCAAGGACTCAGTGCATTTGTAACAGAGCTGGGACCAGAACTCAGGGCTTCTCACTCCTGCCCTACTATTGTTTTTACCACAAAATATACTAAGCCAGCATGTTTATTCATGACCGGACCTGACCATGTTTCGAGCACCTACTAAACGCCAGGCATGATGTATGGGTGTTTGACATAATTATCTCATTCAATTTTGATAGCATCCTGAAAGATAGGTGGTGTTGTCTCTTTTTTGTGATGAGGAAACTGAGACCCAGAGAGGTTGCACAGAGACCTGTGTTGGGATTCTGCAGCTAGCAAGTGACAGAGTTCGGATTGAGTTGGAGGTCTATCTAAGTGCCAAATCCAGGCTTTCTCCACTCTGGTGCATTTGCTTCTCAGTTGCTCCCAAAACTCCACCTGCTCCCATCAAAGGGCTGTACTCCTTCAGACCAGGAAGCTTTGTATATGCACCCCCCTACTTGGCATGCCCTCCTTTCTTCCTCTCTACCTTTGCAGTCCCACTTGTCCCTCGGGGCTCACATCTTGATGAGCTCATACTTCAAGAATGTTTAGAGATGAAGAAATCTGGCCACCAAGGTTTAGCCTAGCCAAACTTACTGTTTAGAGAGCCATCATTCCTTCAAATGCCTTTCATTTTGTCAGGTTTTACTGACAAGCTTCGGTCAAACTGGTCAGCAGTACCACTTATATAAATGTTTGTCACTGGCCCTTTTGAAAACGAATGTAGACCTTGAACTGCTGTCTTTTCTTTTTACTAGAATAAATTGCTACTTGCCGGGGGGATGGTTATTTCCCATTATGCAGCCGGGTCAGGGAATGCTCTGAATAATCAAATATTCCAATGAATGGGGTTACATTACATGGATCAGCAGCTTTCAAGGAATCAGAATAAAATACACTTAACACAAACACTGTACTAAGCATAATGTAATTTTCTTGCTGGTTTTGCTGCTGATCCTGTGAGCATCAATTATCACTTAACAGGAGTTGAGGTGTTATAGTAAGAGCGCTGGGAATCAAGTAACTCTGCCACTAACCCGCGAAGCGATTTTGAGCACACCACCTTCCATTTTGGAGTGCTGTTTCCTCTTCTGTAAAACAAGCAAGTTGGATCAGATTGTGTCTGGTGTATGTGTTGCACATGTGTCATCATTCTCCACTCCTGAGCCCACGTCAGACATCACTAATCAATTGTGGCACATTTTTTTCCCTTTGATCTCTGACAGCCTCAGCATCCCTCTAAGCCCAGTGTTCCAGCCACCAATCCACTCTCAGTAGATTGGAGTAGACACATGAAATGAAATCTATTTGCTATAATTGAACTAGATGATCTCCAGGGTCTCAACTTTTATGAGCTGCCTGAGGTGAAGGCATGCCGGATGGAAAGTTGGGTGGCAGATAGTTTGTACTATCATTAAGCATTAAGTATTTTACCACTCAGCTGAGGGGTTGGGGTTTTTTTATTATTATTTTTGTTTGCCTCCAATTCGCTGACATGTAGGCTTATGTGGCTACTGAAAACTATGGCAGGAATTATATCTAAAATTCTGGTGGGTAGATCCAAGTGGATTGTGACAAGGGAGGGTCGGTCAGCTTGGCTCGTCCTAAGATTCAACCCACCTTTGAGGCTGTCCTAATAGAAACAGGCAGAAATAATCCAACCCACATCTGAGTTCCCTCATCCCACAACACTAGGCTGGGACATGTCATTCTGTGTTATGGCTAGTAGGATGTGATATACAAACCTCCTGGTAGGTTATAAACTCCTTGGAGTCTGGGAGGATGCTCTAATTATCATTTGAATTCGCAGCCTGGTCCCACAACTAATAGGCTGTTTACCCCCGACAGGTTACTTTCTCTGCCTCAATTTTTAATTTATAAAACTGGGAAAAATAATAATAATATGCTTTCGGGGTTTGTCATGCACATCAGATGACAACATTGATGTAAATGATTAAAAGACCTCCTGGAATATTGCTTTTTTTTTATTATTCTAAAATCACAGCCTAGCACAATGCCTGATGAACAAGAGTTACTAGCGTGTGTTGACTGATTTAGTTTTCAAATCACCATGAGAGGTGAGTATCTACCTTTGGAGGTACTGATCCAAGAAACAGCAGGGAAACAAATATGACAGGATCTGTCCACAAGACTGCGGGGAACTGAACAGGGCAGAGTTAGTACGAAGGGTTTGGATTCATCTGCTGCTGAGGCAACCAGAAATCAATTCGAGGGAGTCACACGGCAAAGGAGGCAGCTGTAGTCAGCTTCCTGGCCTTAGGAGGGATTTTTATTCTTTTCACTAGCATCTTCCACTTTTGGAAGCATATTCTCAAATCATGAAAATACTCTTGGAGAGCACATTTTTATTTCATTGTGTCCTCAAACAAACCTGGGAGCTCAAGGCAGTATCACCCCTATATGAGGCAAAGCTGAGGCCCAGAAAGGTTATGTAATTTGCCTAAGGATCCACAGCCTGTGAGGGCAGAGCCTGGGCTGGGACTTTCAGTCTCACAGTCTCCCCCATCCTCCTTTCTCTCCTGTCCTCTTCAGGAACATATTTCAGTTTTAGGTTTCCCGGCAGTTTTTCTAAACACTATCAAGAAAAAGCAATTTTATTAGTTCATTGACATAAACAATGAGTTGGTAAGGGACTTTTATTTTCCCCAAATCCTCCAACCCTATGTCAAATGTCAGAGTTATTTTTTGGCTATGAGAAACTGTAATGTAAAAATGAGAAAAATATTCCCACAAAAGGAGTCTGAGAAGTATGCCTGGGCATGACTGTGAAAAAGAGGACAGGAACAGCATATAATGCTTAATGAAACATATAAAGGACAGTACTGGGTTTTATTTGAAACACGATCTTCATGTTGCTGACAAATAAAATAAAACAAGTATGAAATAGGCACAAACCACTGTTGGATGTGTTTCTCAAAAGACTTGGGCATAATGTGAAACCAGGAGTTCACATGTTGCCCTTTAAATAAAATACAGGAATGTGTACTTTCTATGGAGATATGACTTTTAGTTTTCTTCTTCACTGTGGAGATAGATTTGTGAGGGACCATTATCACTCCATCCCCCAATTCTCCTGGAGACTAGGTCATAGAGTAGGCCCATTTATCCAGTTGCACCTCCCCCATGACCTGAAATGTGTGAACCTGGGTTATCGTGTTTGCACACTCGAGAGCCCCAACTCTCCGTATGCTATGGCTTCAGCTGATTAATATCGTCTGGCCCCAAGGAGAGCCATAGACTGGTAAAGCCAATCAGATCTCTTCTTTTAAGAGTTTTAAATCACAGAGAAGAAGATTCCAGTTGGTATAAATCCTTGAGTGAGGAGAAACTGGAGATTTAGGCTAAATTAGCAATATCGGACCATGCCCAAAATGAGCACTCACAGAAAAAAAAAGGGTAAAGAGAGAAAGAGAGAAAAATGGAGTAGATGCACAAAGGGAGTCAGTCTGTTCAGGCTGCTGTAACAAAACACCTTAAACTGGGTAATTTGTAAATAATAGACAAGTATTGCTCACAATTTTAGAGGCTGGGAAGTCCAAGCTCAAGGTTGCAGTGGACTTGGTGTCTGGTGAGGGCTCTCTGCTTCATAGATGGTGTCTTCTTGCAGAGTTCTCACATGGCAGAAGGGCAAGGCAGCTTCCTTTTCATCTTAACCACCTCCTAAAGCCTCACTTCTTAATACTATCACATTGGTCATTAAGTTTCAACGTGAAATTTGGAGGACACATTCAGATCATAGCAAAGGATAATGAAGGCATGAGAAGATATGAGAAAGATCATGAAGGTTTTGAAAACTAGAACAAATGGTTTCCAAACCCCGGATTTCAGCTCCAGTCCATGACATCTGGTGGGACTTCTTTGCCACAAGATGCTGCCATGTTTTGGCAGAGAGTGGGCACTCTGTCTGTTGGATAAATTGGTGATGAAATAAATCTCCTTCTTTCTTGGGCTACTTTGAGTAGGTTTTTGTTCCTTATATCCAAAGGAGCTTTGATTGGTATTGTATAACTTTCTCCGGCTGAAATAATAGGTTGGTAGCTCATTCCCATGCTCAGGCAAGCATTCTTGATTGGGGTTAACAGGGATATCTTTATTCCCTCAGGTTACTTGCAATCTTTTCTATTTATGTTGAGGTCATAGTATATGCATGTAATTCAAATGATAACACAAAACATTTACTGAGCACTTATTTTATGCCAGTAAGTAGTGTATTATATACATTGTCTCATTTAATCCCCAACCACTCCTATGAGATTGGACATTTTATTCTCACCATTTATAGATTAAGAAGCCAAGTCTTGGTGAGGACAAAGATGATATTCAAGGTCACCTGATAGGTATCTTCCTGGAAAATCCAATGATTAAATTGCTATTGATTTGCTTCCGGCTACAATAGGAAGTATGTGGTGTATCAATAAAATGATATCTGTGAGGATATTTGGATTTAATTTTCATTTCTCTCACAGTTGGTAAAAACAATTTTCAATTTCTACGTCCACTAAATAAGGTGTACTGATATATGCCTCCTACTATCTCAGTGAGGAGACCTCTTCACGAGTGTACACATACAGCTGCCAAAAGACAAAAATTGTTCAGCTTAGTGTTTTACACTTTAGATTCTAAGGGGTCAGCAATGACAGAACTTTGTAAGAAAAAAAAAATCCAGATTCGTTACTCCCTGTTGAGCCAGCAAATGGAAGAAAATAAAGTTTCAATAACACCCTTTCCTCTTCTCAATTCTGTTCTCATTAAATAGTATAATTGTGGTTTAAAACAACTGGGAGCTGGGTGCGGTAGCTTACACCTATAATCCCAGCATTTGGGAGGCCAAGACGGGTGGCTTGCTTGAGTCCAGAAGTTTGAGACCAGCCTGGGCAACATAGCGAGACCTCATATCTACAGAAAATTTAAAAATTAGTCAGATGTGGTGACAGGCATCTGTACTCCCAGCTACAGGGGAGGCTGAGGGAGAGGGATTTTTTGGACCCAGGAGTTTAAGGGTTCAATGAGCTATGATCGCACCACTGCACTCCAGCCTGGGCAACAGAGAAAGATCCTGACTCTATTCAAAATAATAATAATAAAATAAAACAAGTAGGGACCAATATAAGGTTGCTAATGTATTATTTTAGTAAGTAATTAGTTATTTAATTAAAAGTAATAAAATTTAGTTATTTAACATACAGATAGAGAGGCATAATTTAGACTAAAGGATGGCTCTTTAAATGAAATGCACTTAGCTATATAAAATATTTACATCAGTGTCCTATTTTTTTCTTCTTACTAAGAACTACGAAAACTTTGCTGTGAAATGAATTTTGTGAACTATTACTACTGGGGTGTTTTTTATTAGTTTACAATGAAAGAGACAGAAAATTTCTGATATTTTAAAAATGTTATTGTGTTGGATCAATTTTTTGTGTGTACAGTTTTCCCAACTTTTGAACTGTTGAGGTTCTCCTCTGAAGCATTGCTTAAAGGTAAAGAAATTGGGAATACACAGTTATTGCCAGATGTTACAATCCAAGACATATTTATTCAGCCCAATGTCAAGGACATCAAAATGGACATTTTTAGCCCTTTATCTATGCACAGTTTGTGCAACCCTTGGTTATCTAGCTTAAAATGTTAATTTCAGTCTTCAATAAACAACTAGACTAAGAGATATTAATCCCTGCAATTAACGTCTATCCCAACTAGCCATATGCCTCTGGATATAGTTGGAGAAGAATTTCAGCTATCTAAGACTTATGAGGTCCCAGCTTCAGCTGGGACTCAAAATCATGTTTCCAGAACACAAAGAACACTTGATAAAGTTGGAGAGAGATATTTTTTGAAAATATGTCACTAGGCAGCTTGGGAGCAATTTAGCAGCACCATCCTACAGGGTATGAATTTAACCTTTGCTCTCTGAAATGAAGGTCAGCAAATTTGTTTTTACTCTACATATCTTATAATCAATTCAATGTCTGGGTAAATCAGTTTCTAAAGAAGAGGCTGTGTTTGCAGATAAGTGATACTTTCACCTTCTAATTTTTTAAACATTTAACCCTCTCTTCTCTGAATTAAAATTCTTCTCCCCCCCCCCCTTTTTTTTTACAGGGGAGGAGGAATCTAAAAACTTAAGATACAAAATATTAAAAGGCGAAAAATACCATACTGTTGTCTGCAGAAGGTAAAAAAAGTCCAAGAAAATTGTTTTTTTTTTTTCTAAGAGATGAACACATGAAAAGATACTTTAAAAATCTGTCTGTTCACCTGAAGCTTTCTTGCTAATCTATACTTTAAACCAGGGTTGACAAAGAATAGCCCATGGGCAAAATCCGACCCACTGCCTGGTTTTGTAGATAAAGTTTTAATAGAACACAACCACGCTCATTCATTTAGGTATTATCTATGGTTTTTGGGCTACAACAGCAAAGTTGAGTAGTTGCAGGAGAGGTCATATGGCCCAAAAAAGCCCAAAATATTTACTATCTGGCCCTTTATAGAACATGTTTGCTGATTCATGCTTTAAATCAAAGACTCTTAGAGAAATGACACTGTGAAAATATATCCTTAGCCTAGATATAGCAATGGCTTAGGGGTAAAGGAGAATAGATACTAGTTTTAATCCAAGCATTCACTTTGTAGAAACATAGGACGATACCAAGCTGATGAAATGAACAATAGTTGGGAATGCACTGTAATGAGATAAAGACATAATAACTAAATTTACTCCTCTGATTCTCCAGGAGCTTATCTAATAACAATATGCTATGGTAGTGATGAACCCAGCATCCTCAGCTAATGTCAGCCATTTGGGAATAAGAGTTTCTTCTCTGCAGCAGATGTGTGGCTCAAAGTTCACCACGAGTGCACTCACAGAGAGAGCACAGCATGTGTTGTTCTGTGAGGGACCAGTGCTGGCCTGTCAATGGAATAGCTAATTTAGTTAAAGGACTGGGGAAATAGTGGGGGTGGGGGGCTAGAACTTGGGAAAAGAAGAGTTTTAACCCTTTCTGGGTATGACTTTACTTTTCAAATAATGATAATTCTGTTGCCTATAGAATTTAAACCAAGAGAATGAAATGCAGTTTATATCATTCCTTGCCAGTCATCCTACATGGACAGCTGCCAGGAGGCTGATATGCAGAGGCGATCATTGCATGCATGGTTATTTCTGTCGTAGACGCTCGTCATCCCTTGAAATTGCTCCACTCCTAAGATTCCAAATTCCAGCCTCTGCTTGCTTGTCTCAGAAGTCTAGTACATGGACTAATGAGGGTGGGCTCCCTCAACTTCCCTCTCCAACTAAACCTGCCAGGTATTCATCCTGGGCCTAGATTTTTACTTCTCTCTTGGAAGAAGAAGGGCAGAGACTCACCTCGTGGCTTGTGTGTTGCCATACTTTCTGATTTCTTTAGACTGTTGCTTTGTCATCTTCAGGTTATTCCTCTCTTTCCATTTTCCTAACAAACATGGTTTGGTCTCACTTACCATAAATATGTAAAAAATCAAAAACAAAAACAAAACTCTCTTTTCCTCAACTTTGCTATTCTCTTTTGCTGCTTTCCTAGTGGCTTAAATAAGTTTATTTCTTGTACATGCAACGGCCACAGAAGATTGGGTGGCTCTTCTTAAGAGGATTTATGCTGTATTCAGTGATTCAGCAATCATGGGTTTTTCATCTTTCGGTTTTGTTGTTTCTGCACAGGGTCTCCCCCATGACCACTGGGGCAGGGAGAGAGCGATTGAGTCAGACGAATCTGGCACAGGCTTTTCCCTGCCTCAGTCCAGAAAGAACCCACTTCACATTTCTTTGAAGAACTACCACATTACTCTTCCACGAGTACAAGGACACTGGGAAGTACCATCTTCCGTGTGCCTGGAATGGGAGTAGAACCAGATATTGGTGAACACAGTAATGCTTTCCACAACTACAACTCCCATAAGGAAGCGCCACTACTTCCTCAGTGTCCACCACTGTCTTCCAACCCACATCTTCTCAAATCTGGCTTTTGCCACCATCGCTCCACGAAACTACCTTTGTTTTTGCCTTATCTTTTCTTACAATGATCGCCTTTTCTATCTAATCACATTATCTTTGCGACTTCTGCCTTAGTGTCTTGGTGGAATTTGGTCCAAACTTTATCTCCTTTCTTCCTGAATTCACTTTTTGGTTTGCATAGCAGCACATGTAGCATTTCAAGCTTCCCCTCATTCTTTTATACGGACTTTCTCTCAGTTTCTTTCACTGATTTCTCTTCTTCTTCCTCCTATTCAATGTAGGGAGTCCATGTTGCTCAGACTTTTCTTTGTATCCTCTATGTCCTTGCCCTTGGGTTTCAGCCTTCAGCTCTGACCATGTAACTCCTCAGTCAATCAATCAATCCACCCATCCATCCCCTTCTTCAGATCTAGAATTATACCTCTAAATTTCGCTTACATTACACTTCCACTTTTAAATGGACATAAATTCATAGTCTCTGAAAGTACGGACCTTCTTCCAACCTAACAATTTCTGTTAATAGAACTGTATCTATTAGAATACCTGGGATATGTGACAGAATACCCCAATTCAAGTGCCTAAAATAAAGAAATGTATTATCTCAACTAGTGAGAAGTTGAGGTGCTTCTCTCAGCTCTGCCTCGATGTGTGTATCAGTTCTGGCTTTGTTGGCTCCTCTCACAGTAGTTAGACCTCTCTAATAGCTCTAGTGGTCATATTTAGAGGCTATATTCAGCCTCCAGAGGAAAAGGAGCCAACTCTCTTGTTTCTGTTTAAGAGTGACAGAACCTTTCTGGGAAGTCTCCTTAGTAGTCTTCCCTTTGCTCCTTAAAAAAAATTATTAACAGCTTCATTGAGATACAGTTTACATATTATGTAAGTCACATCTTTAAAGTCTATAATTCAATGGTTTTTTAGTACATCCACAGAATTATGTGGCCATAACCACAATAAATTTTAGAACATTTTCATTGCCCCAAAAGAAACCTTTGTCCATTAACAATCACTCCTTGCTCCCCTCTCTCCCCAGTCTCTGGCAACCATTAATCCACTTTCTGTCTGTATGGATTTACCTATTCTGAACAGTTTGTTTAAATAGACTCATATAATATGTGGCCTTTTGTGTCTGGCTTCTTTCACTTAACATACTCTTTTGAGCTTATCATCACTGTACTGTGAATCAGTACCTCATTCTTTTTTATTGCTGAATAATATTCCATTGTGTGGATATGCCACATTCTGCTTATCCATTTCTTGGTGGATGGACCAAGAAATGGTTTTCATCCCTTTGCTTCTTTTGCTAAGAATTTCTGCAGCTGCTTATGCCTAATACAATCCCTGGAAACCATGGACAAATGGAACCACCTGGATGATGTGGACAAATGAAGCCACCTGAATGGCTTGGACAAATGGAGCTGTCTGGGTGACTTGGACAAATCAAGACTCAGCCCTCGGGTTGAAGATGAGTCAATATTCTCTGAAGCAGTGGCCACTTAGAAGTGGGTGAATATTTGAACAAAACTGGATTTCTGTTAGAAATGAGGAAGGGAGGGGTGGTAGGGAATGTGGGAAAGACAAAAACAAGCAAACAAACAAACAAAAACAAAAAACAAAGTAACAGATCTTCTGCAGGTAACAACCAGTATGTTTTTTTAGTTCTGAAACTTTTTCTTTCTCCTGACCCATGGTATCCAATTGGTGACCAAGCTTGTCTATTTGATCTCCATGGTTTCTTCTCTCTCTCCTTCTCTCATCCACCTGAGTCGCCCCCTCTGCTTCTTGCTCTCATTACTTCTCAGCCATTCTTCCCTAACGGCCTCCTGCTGCGACCTATTTTTCTGTTGTGCCTTCTTCCCCCTCCAATGCATCTCACACATCTTGGTGAGCGCAATCTTTCCACAATATACATCTACTGATAATAATGTTACAGCCCCTGCTCAACTCTACTGCCTAGAAAACTAAGTCCAAAGTCATTGCTCACACAAATAAGGTCAGTCTCAGCATCTCTTTATTTATCTGTCTCAGCCAAAATCTCTTCCTTTACTTATATAGCTCCAATCCATTCTTTGAGACATCTTAGATAATAATAGCTAACATTTATTGACATGTTATGTGTCAGTGCTGTTCTAACAGTCATGGGATTATCCCATTGATTCCTCACAAGAAGTCTATGAGATCCATACAATTATTAGTATCAATAATTCATCCAATGATTAGTTAAATATGAGGAAATAAAGGCTAAATATGTTGTCTATGATGATATAGCCAGTAGGTAGTCAGGCCAGGATTTACATCCAGGCAGTTTGATTCTTATGTGGAAACATCTCCTTCCTGAATCCTTTCCTGATTCCATATCCCTTCCCTCCATTCCCTCCTCTAACCTCTCACCCCACCCTCATATACCGCAATTTCTCCCTCCTTTTTAAACATACAGCATTTTCTTTATAGGGCTGAGCTTTGTCCTCCCCAAATTCATATGTTAAAGTCCTGGCCCTCGGTACCTCAGAATGTGACTGTATTTGGAGATAAGATTTTAAAGACACAATTAAGGTTAAATGAGGTTATTAGGTTGGGCCTCTAATTCAATATAACTGGTCTCCTTATAAAAAGAGGAGATTAGGATACAGATGTGCACACATAAAAGAAAAACCCATGTGAGGACTCAGTAAGAAGGTGGCTATCTGCAAGCCCAGGAGAGAGGCCTCAGAAGAAATACCCTGCTGACATCTTCATCTTGTAATTCTGCATCCAGAACAATGAGCAAATACATTTCTGTTGTTCATGCCACCGGTGTGTGGTATTTGGTTATGGCAGTCCTTGGAAATGTACACACTTTCTGGGTCTCAGTCACCTCATCTGTAAAATGGGTTGCTGGCAGATTTAGTGGAAGAAATTTCTCAGCACAGTGCCAGGCACTTTTCTGTACAGCAAACAGCCAACAGCCATTTCTCCCTTCCTGTCATCCTAAGGTGACCTTTGGGAACAGCAGTGTCAGGGCTGGTAGGGGCTTAAGGCTGAAACCCCTGGCTGCTGGTAAATAAGCAAGTTAAGATGAGCCCGAAGAGTACCAGTAGCTACAAATAGACAGATTCCAAGATCAAGCACTAGGCAGACAGAAATGAACTAGGAGCCAGGGGAGACATGCTGTATCTGTATCCGCAAGTAACAGAAAGCCTGTCTCAAAT